CGGCGGCCTCAGCTCCTGCCCGGGTCGGGCCTGACCTTCCTCGTGCTGGGGCTACACTTGAGGGGTCCCGTGTGGCTCTCTTCCTGGGAGGTCGCCTGGCTCCCTGGCTCTCAGGTGTCCCAGGAGGAGGGGCCCTCGGAGCACGGGAGGACCTGCCCCTCAGGCTCGCCGGCCATCCTGACCCCCGAGGGCCCAGCAAGATTCAGGAAGGGGCCGCGGGGCCAAAGGTGGGCGTCCAGATGGATTGGAGCGACAGACAGAGGCAGCTCCCGGGACCCTGGCCTCGGGTCTGATGGCCAGGCTGGCCCTGTGCCCGCCAGCAAGAGCAGCGACCGGGTCCTAAGAGCAAGAGGGGGCAGATGAGAGGTGGGGGGGCTCCAGCAACCATCCCCCCAAGGCCCTCCCTCTCTGCTCTGCCAGCTTCACCCCAGGACACAGGCTCTGGAGAGGCACCCAGAGAAAGAGAAGAGATGCACAGACTGACCTTGGACCGTGGGCAGGAGCCACGGCCTCTGCCAGCCCCACTGCCTGCCCCGCCCCAGGTGGGCATGGCTGCCCCTCACGCAGCCTGCCCCCTGCTGACAGCAAACTCCCACAGACGCGGCCTGGGCAAAGGCAGGGCCAGCTGGACCCCTATGGAGCACAGGACACAGCAGGCAGCAGGAAGGAGGCCCGGGGTGCTGAGGAGGGGTGCGGGCGGCGAGGGCGGAGAGGGCGGATGCCTCTTAGACTCACGTGCTACACCCAGGTGGGTCCCTGTCTTACCCTGCCTCAGTTTGCCTTCCTATGGGATGGGCGCCGGCGGGCGACTCTGGAGACAGAGAGGCCAGGCAGAGGCTGGAGCAGGGCACGGGGCCTCCCTCGGCCTGGCTTGGCAGTGGGCAGCCACCTGCAGGTGGCCCCCTACCGACGCGGCCCCTGGCTGTGGCTCCTAGCTCCAGGCCTGCTCCCACGGGCTCCGGGAGCCAGGGCCAGCGCGCCGGCCTGTGGGGATGGAGGAGGGCTGGGGCCGGCTGGGCCGTGGGCACCAGGCCTCGGGGGGTGGCCGCCCTACCTGCAGGTTCTTTCTCCACACGTTCACCGCGGCGAAGGCCAGCTGCATCTGCTTCCGGCGCGCGTCCTTGTGCCGCTTGTAAGCGATTTCGATGAAGATGAGGAAGATCCCCGCCACGATGCCCCCGGCCACGAGCATGAAGACCCCTGTGGGCCAGGCCCCGCGCCTCAGTGTC